TGCGGCGGTCACTACTGTCCTACCAGCGGGCACAAAGTGGGCCGCGGACACCCTAGAGTGACACCCAGCGAGGGGCAGACCTTTCAATGATGGCTCTGCGCCAGACAGGCGAGTTCACACCATGGGACGTAATATATGAGCGCGCCTGGCGCGAGCGGAGCACGCTTTATATGAGCATTGCTTCTATCCACGATAGCAGCTATATTATTCCTGTCGACGCCGGAACGGCGTCTTATTTCGGGATCGCGATACTATCGCGCTCTTTCGGTGTTCCGACGGTCTATTCTTGTACTCTAACTGTGACAAGCAACTGACTCCACCGAGCCGCGCTGCCAAGCAACTGACTACCACCGACACCCGTGTCACACTACACCCGTGATAAATAACTTAATGAACGGACACGCCAAACCGGAGCGGGTCGCGGAGCGGGGAGCGGGACACAGGGGAACGGGAGCGGGGAGCGCATCGCGACACGGAGGGGGGCTGGGCAGGGTTCACCTCCACACGACAGGGCAGAGAGTCCTCTCTCGCATAGCACAGGTTGCACCCGGCGGCACGGGGGCAGGGCAGGCCTCCTGCTGGTTGCGCTCTCGTAGCTAGTTCGCCTGCTTTGTTGTTGTCATGTTCGCCTTCTTGCTTGCTCCTGACAAGGAACAGCGACAGGCTCAGCTCGGTGGATTCTCCCTAATTCACTGGCGATACACCACCCTACTCGTGAATAGCTTCCTAACTAATGTACTTTCCTTTTTAGCTACCACCGCTTCGAGAGGCAGGTTCAAGGAGACACACCTGCTCACAGCAGCTGGCGTGAACAGACGCCGTCCTCGCAACGCAGAAAATCATCGCAACGCAGAAATCGGGAAGGAGCTACGCTTCATTGCTGTGTCGTGAACACACGCCGTAGGGTTGACAACATTCTATGTCCTATCGGGGCGAGGAGCGTCGCTGGCGTGATGAGCAACGGCGCGCCGAGTACGGACGCGAAGGGCGGCGATGGCGGGCCGGGGGCGAACCGCGACGGCGGTCGCGATCGCGCGATGAGCGGCGGGATGAGCTGCGACGGCGCGACGAGGGTTGGCAAGGCGAGCAATGCCGGCACCATGACGGGCGGCACGACGAGCGGCGCGGCAACAACGACTCTTGGTGCAGTGGGCGCGAGCAGCGATGGCACGCTGAGCGTTTGCGCGATGAGCCATCGCGAGGCGAACGACGGCCGCATCATGACGGGCGGCACGTCGAGCGGCGCGGCTGCAACGACCGACCAAGCATAGGCGTGCGCGAGCACGACTTGTGCGATCGGCGCGATGGTGGATCCCACGATCCCAGGCGCGACCATGACCGGCGCGACCGCCGCGGCGAGGGGCAGCCTCAGCACAGCGACCGCCGGTGGAGTCCGCCGATGCGTGGTGCAGGATCGCGCGACGAGAGGCACACCTCTGCTGCCGGTGGTCAGCTCAACGCTAAGCAGCTCAGCAGCCACATCTCAAATGCTGGCAGCGCTGACGCATTGCTCGCGCTCTCTGCTGCCCACAGCACGAGCTTGAACCACATTCACGCTGCGAACCTGTGGAACAAACTGGGCAAGCAGCGCATCGAGCGGCGGCACGAGGAGCGACTTGAGCGGCTGGTGCAGCGCACGCTCGACCTCATCCCGTCGTGCAATGCGCGAGCACTGGCAAATATAGCTCACGGCGTTGCAAAGTGCGGCCGGCGTTCGGGGGTGGAGCGCGCGCTGTACGCGGCGGTGGCGGAGGCGGCGGTGCGCGGCGGGCTGGCTGGCTTCAACCCTCAGGACCTGGCCAACACGGTGTGGGCGTATGCGACGGCGGGCATGGCTGCGGACGCGCTGTATGAGGCGGTGGCGGAGGCGGCGGTGCGCGGCGGGCTGGCTGGCTTCAACCCTCAGAACCTGGCCAACACGGTGTGGGCGTATGCGACGGCGGGCGTGGCTGCGGACGCGCTGTACGCGGCGGTGGCGGAGGCGGCGGTGCGCGGCGGGCTGGCTGGCTTCAACCCTCAGGCCCTAGCCAACACGGTGTGGGCGTATGCGACAGCGGGCGTGGCTGCGGACGCGCTGTATGAGGCGGTGGCGGAGGCGGCGGTGCGCGGCGGGCTGGCTGGCTTCAACCCTCAGGCCCTGGCCAACACGGTGTGGGCGTATGCGACGGCGGGCGTGGCTGCGGACGCGCTGTATGAGGCGGTGGCGGAGGCGGCGGTGCGCGGCGGGCTGGCTGGCTTCAACCCTCAGGACCTGGCCAACACGGTGTGGGCGTATGCGACGGCGGGCGTGGCTGCGGACGCGCTGTATGAGGCGGTGGCGGAGGCGGCGGTGCGCGGCGGGCTGGCTGGCTTCAACCCTCAGGACCTGGCCAACACGGTGTGGGCGTATGCGACGGCGGGCGTGGCTGCGGACGCGCTGTACGCGGCGGTGGCGGAGGCGGCGGTGCGCGGCGGGCTGGCTGGCTTCAACCCTCAGGCCCTGGCCAACACGGTGTGGGCGTATGCGACGGCGGGCGTGGCTGCGGACGCGCTGTATGAGGCGGTGGCGGAGGCGGCGGTGCGCGGCGGGCTGGCTGGCTTCAAGCCTCAAAACCTGGCCAACACGGTGTGGGCGTATGCGACGGCGGGCGTGGCTGCGGACGCGCTGTACGCGGCGGTGGCGGAGGCGGCGGTGCGCGGCGGGCTGGCTGGCTTCAAGCCTCAAAACCTGGCCAACACGGTGTGGGCGTATGCGACGGCGGGCGTGGCTGCGGACGCGCTGTATGAGGCGGTGGCGGAGGCGGCGGTGCGCGGCGGGCTGGCTGGCTTCAACCCTCAGGACCTGGCCAACACGGTGTGGGCGTATGCGACGGCGGGCGTGGCTGCGGACGCGCTGTACGCGGCGGTGGCGGAGGCGGCGGTGCGCGGCGGGCTGGCTGGCTTCAACCCTCAGGACCTGGCCAACACGGTGTGGGCGTATGCGACGGCGGGCGTGGCTGCGGACGCGCTGTACGCGGCGGTGGCGGAGGCGGCGGTGCGCGGCGGGCTGGCTGGCTTCAACCCTCAGGACCTGGCCAACACGGTGTGGGCGTATGCGACGGCGGGCGTGGCTGCGGACGCGCTGTACGCGGCGGTGGCGGAGGCGGCGGTGCGCGGCGGGCTGGCTGGCTTCAACCCTCAGGCCCTGGCCAACACGGTGTGGGCGTATGCGACGGCGGGCGTGGCTGCGGACGCGCTGTACGCGGCGGTGGCGGAGGCGGCGGTGCGCGGCGGGCTGGCTGGCTTCAACCCTCAGGCCCTGGCCAACACGGTGTGGGCGTATGCGACGGCGGGCCACTACCACCAGGTGCTGCTCGCAGACTGCTCGCGTGTGATCAGCGACTCGCTCGCGCGGGATCCGTCGAGGTGGGGCGTCGTGGACCGCCGTCAGCTGCACCAGTGGCAGCTCTGGCTCTCCCTTGAGCGAGGAGCAGACGGGCAGCAGTACCTTCTCTCCGAGTCCCAGCGCAAGCTCTGCTGCGACGCCATGCAAGGCACCGAAGTTACGATCTCGCGCTTACAGCGCTCCGTCGCGGCTGCCCTCGCCACCCTCCAGCACGGCTTCGAGGAGGAGTATCTCGAGCCGCGCACTGGCTACTCGCTCGACCTGGCGCTGCCCTCGTCACGCGTCGGCGTTGAGGTGGACGGCCCCTCTCACTTCCTGCTGCCCGACGGCCGGGGCGTGCGCAAACCCAATGGGCCAACGCTGCTCAAGCGGCGCCTCCTCGCGGCGGCTGGCTGGAGGGTGATCAGCGTTCCATTCTACGAGTGGGACGGCTTCGCGACGGCCAATGAGAGGCACACCTACCTGCAGGGGCTGTTGGGCTAGTACTGTACCGCCACGAGCGCCGCGACCACCTCGCCACGCTCTCGACCGAGAGCCGCCTAAACGCCGCCTCCACATGTCGAGATCACAAAAGGATACGCACACGGCTTTGTTATTACATGCACATGCACATGCAAAAACTAAACACCCACTACGCGGATTATACTTTATTTATCGTGACATCATCCTACGAGTCCGATTGGTGTGCCAATAACGTTGAAGAAAGAGGGCCTCGTTGATGTCGGCTGCGACCTGCGTGGAAATCGGCGTCTGTCAAGATTGTCTGGCGGAATGAGGCCCGTCGAGCAGCGCCCTGGTGAAGTCGGCGATGTTCATCCTGCGTGACGTCCGCGTGGAGGTCAACTTGAGCGGGTCGTACGACCTAGATGCGTCTACCTAGACCCTAAGGCGTAAGGGGCTCCTTCCTCCCCTCGGAAGCACGGTCCTCCCTCCTGCTCGCATTCCGATGGTCATTGCGCATCTAGGTCGTGCCCGCGATCAGCCACCCATGGGCGGTCACCGGGGTGGCGGTCAAGCACGCTCCGGGGTGGATCCGGTGCGTCTCGTATCACTGGTGGGCTGGGTGTGCAGCAGCAGCGCTCAAAAAGAGGCAAAAAACTCGGCTGCTACTTTGAGTGTCAGCTTTCTCGACGCACACCGTCCTCGGGCCCCTCGAAAAGCTGGCTGGTGGTCGCGCGCGGCGCGTCGCGGCTCCAACTGGTCGGGCACCTCGGCTGGGTCCATCGGCACGAGGCCCGCTCCGTCGGGCAGCCCCGGGAGCGCATGGGCGGCCGGCGCGAGCGGAGAACGGCGGTCGAGATCGTGCAGCTCTGGCACGAAAAACGAAAAGCGCGAAGGGGGGTGGCCGGGGTGCTGAGTTTCGGGACCCTAGACACACCGACATCGAGAGAAAAAAGCACGCAGCGAGAAAGTGATAAAAGAAACAGCTCAAATTAATTCTTTCTTTCTCGGCGTCGCGGCTGACGCGGCGGGAGGGATTTGGCGCGCGCGCGGGGGGGAAGGGGGGGGGGGGCAGAAAGCAAAGTTTCGCCGCCGGAGACGACTCGACGGCTGAAATCGGAAACGGTGGGGCCGCGGGGCGCGCGCACTGGACACCGCCCCACCCACACCCCGCCCTAGACACCGCCACAGATTCTCACTTTGCCCCGCCGAACTCAAACGCGGCGAATGGATTCGGCGCAGGCTCGCCCCCGGGCTGCTCCAGGGCCTGCTCGCCCACGCCTGCCTCCTCCTCGTCGCTGTTCTCGTCCCAAGCCAGCATGCGCGCCGCCCCGCCTGCCTCGCCCTCGCCCTAGGCCCTGAGGTCCCGCTCGCTTCGAAAAAGCCGAGAGAGTCAAGGACGTCGATGTCCAGGGATGCCAAGTAATCAAAGACATCGCGCCCTATCTCCCATCATATCCTCGCACCGACGAGCCACTGGC